TCTCTTATTAAGACTCTATAGTACTCTAGGTCTTTAACTTTCTAGGGAGTTATTTATAGTCTATCTCGCCTCCTAGTCCTAATGCACTAGGCTTTTATCTTGTCTAGTGCCTTTTAGATAGTCTGTTAGGCTAGGTATTCTATTGTCTTTGCTATATATTAGTGTCTTAGTCCCTTAAAGTATTGTTTAACTAGTAGGATCCCTAATTCTATTTCCACTACCCTTATAGGTATAGTTTTATATGCTCCTAGGATTTTCTTTAGGCCTTAGGTTTAGGACCTACTAACTAGTTACTCGATCCTCTTTAGTGTTTTCTCCTAGGCTGTCTATATCTATGCTCTATATAGCATTGCTAGCTTAACAATTGCTTTGTATATAACTTTGGCTTTCTCGAATATAGCCCCCTATATAGAGGCTATAAGCCTATTAATGGATTGTATATTAGCATCTGCCCTCTGCTTTGCCTTCTTTACTTGTAGTCCCTAATTCAGTTTTAGGTCTAGCTAGATCCCTAGTACCCTAAGCTCTGCTAATAGTTGGGTTTTAAAGCCTTAGATAGTGATTAATTGCTTTATATTGTAGGTTGATTTAGCCTTACTAAAGTAGATAAGCTAGTATTTTTCTAGGGCGAATTTTGCTCTATATCTCTTTGCCTATTTTTTATACTCCTAGTGCTTCTCTTCTAGGATCTTATAGTTAGTTTCTGTTGTCTTAGACTAGGCTAGGATGTTTGTGTTATCTACAAACCCTAATGCTAATATGTTTCTTAATTCTAGGAGTAGGAGTAGGTCTGCTATAAAGATAAGGAAGAGGATTAGGGAGAGTGTTAATCCTTAGGGGATTCCCTTTTTAGTTAGTATTAGGTCGGATTTGAATTTGCCTAGAATAAGCTATATTAACCTTTCCTATAGGAAGGACTAGATAAATTAGACTATCCAGTTTAGTGTAGCCTTCTATTTAAGTATATATAGGAGCCTTTTATAGGAGACATTGTTAAAGGCTCCTAAGATATTAAGGGAGAGGAGGGTTGCTACCTAGTTTTAACTATAGTACTAGATATGCTTGATCTGTTCTATAATTAGTTCTATAGCTATTAGTATTGACCTCTTCTTTCTTCCTCCTATCTAGCCTTTAGGAAGGATGTTCCTTTCCTCGGTAAAGGTTGTTAGCCTTTTAGCGACAATTTTTTCTAGCACCTTACCTATTGTATTAAGTAGGGCTATTAGTCTATAGGCCTTAAGCTACGTATAGTCTTCCTTCTAGGGCTTCCTTAGTACTACTGTTAGGGACTTCCTAAATAGTCTTAGGTAGTGTCCTAGTGCTAGGCTTTATAAAAAGATATTGGCTAGTACTAGGGCTAGCCCCTTCCTATATACTTTTAGAAGTTTATTATAGATCTTATCTTCTCCTAGTGCCTTATTGCCTAGAATTTTCTTTAGGATCCTTTTAATAGTTTCGGGTTTGACCTAGGTGTCTCTTAGTATGCCTAGTAGTAGAGTCTCTTGTTCTTTCTCCTTTATGTCTAATAGGTCTGCTTATACTTTTCTATAGAAGAAGTGTTAGCCTAGGGCTCTTGCTTTCCCTTCTATTGTAGTCTGCATTTGTCCTTATTAGTCTATAATATCCGGGAATTGTAGTAGTATATCTTTATCCTATTTAGGTCTCCTTGCCTATTTAGCTATCCTCTATATCTCCTCTAGTTTCTTTGTAATTATTCCTATTATAGATCTCTATTCTTGTATCTTATCCTTCTTAATCTAGATCTTCTTTTCCTAGTAGGCTTTGTTATAGTTGTCCTATACTTCCTAGATATAGGTTTGTATCTACTACCTCCTAGCCTTCCTTGCTGCTTTAACCTTCTCTATACACTTACTAGTCTAGTATAGTTGCTAGTACAGTAAATATTTCTTTGCTAGGGTATGCTTTCTAGCTACCTGTTTTAGGATTCCTATTAGTTCTTCTACTGCCTTATCAATGTCCTCTAGCCTTAGGAGGTACTTTGTTAAGAGTTCCTCTAGTTTTAGGTCCCTTTCTAGTTCCTCCCTAATCCTGTCCTATTAGGTACCTTTCTAGTTAAGCTTCTCCTCTAGTTCCCTTTCCTAATTAGCTTAGACATTTAGCTTAATCTGTACCGGGAAGTAGTCTAATGATTCTTCTAGCTCCTAGTTAACCCTGTATCTTATAATCCTGTTCCTAATCTAATATAATGCAAAGTATAGATCTAGTATGCTACTGCTTCCTCTTGCTTCCTAAGTAATTAGTCCCTTTAGGGTAACAATTTCTATTCCTTCCCTCTCTAATATATTAATTAGTCTTCCTGCTAGGAAGTAGTAAGCTAGGGTAAAGTCTAAGCCCTAGAGGGGGTAGTAGAGGTTGAAATCCCTAAGTAGGATTTAGTAGGTGTTCCCCTAGATAACTCTAGGTAGTCTTTCTAGGGTTTTCAGTTAGGTACTACTTCTTAAGTCTAGTAGTGGGTTGTATATATAGTAGACTTAGAGTATACCTTAGGATATCTCTACTTAAACTAATATTAGGTCCCTATCCTCCTATAGTATAGCCTGCTAGGTTTCTATATCTATCTCCTTACTAATATAGTGGAAGTGTAATGGCAACTGTGTATTCGATAGGTACGTAGAGAGGTAGAAGTTCTAAGTACGGAAGGGGGCTCTCGTGGCATGCCAAGTCCGCTTTGTCGATGCCTTAGGCTCTAACTCTCTAACCACTCCCCTAACTATAAGTCGCAGAGCCTGCGATACAGTGTCGCTATTGCCTTGTCTAATATCCTACCCGTTACAACGGTAGATCACATAAAAGAAGATTATTTATATGCTAATCAGTCCCTAGGGTATTATACAAATCAGTCTCTTACGCTAGTAATATGCTAGTTACTATGTCTAATCTGTATCTCTAACTATAACTCTAAGTCAATCTATATGTCTATGCTCTTGTATTGATGCTTAGTAAGCGAGTGTAGGTAATGAGTTGCGGAGCGCGTAAAGTCGTACGCTAGGAAGGTCGGTCGATATAGGTAATAGGTAACTATTGTAGAGGTCTCGGAGGTGTCGCTCGATCGTTAGTTACTAAGTGTTATTGCGTAGGTTGAATCGGTAATGTGCTTCTGCCTTCTTCGTAGCCTTCTTTAGGTGCAGTATGCGCGGCTACGGAAGCCCTTCTAGTGTGTCGATCTGCTGTCTTGCTAGATATCTACTTCTAGGCGTAAACTTCTGCAAATGCTTACGATAATATAGGCCCTATAGTGACTTGGTTCTATTAACAGTCTGCAGCTCGAAAGCATTGTCTATATTATCGCTTAATTGTTTAACGCGGAAGAGGCTAGTCTAGGATGGTTGCTAACTCTTTTAACGGATTGACTAATTCTTAAGAAGGACAAGATTACTAGGCCCAATTATAGGATGTGTGTTTATAGACCGATGAAGACGTCTAATGCGCTTAGCTGATGCTGCCTTGCTGCGGCGGCGCACTTCCGAGTGTACGCGATGCCGGGTTGTAAGGTGTTCTAGTATATTAAAGAGGCTAGTGCATAGCACCTTTAGCTACTAACTCGTAGTAGTAGCGTTAACGTCGATTTCGGGCTTATTATTAATTAAATCAACTATTGCTATATTAGCTTCTTTAACGCCTTCTAATACGTTGATTAATTCCTATCGTCGTACGGAAGGATAGAGATCGGCCTTGTTACTAAGCTCTTCCGGTCGGAGGCCTAACTTAATCTCCGCAGGTAAATATCCGATGCCCTCAATGTGCCTGTAATTAGCATACCTTATTGCCTTAATAGCATTAGTAACCCAGCCGCTAAGTTGCTTAATCGGGTGTCTATTTAGGTCTATTAGGTAACTATTGTTGTTGCGCTTAAGTAATCGACGAATGACTCGGTTTAATACCCCTACGGAGCTAGTAAGTCGCTTACTTCCTGCAGGCCCTAGCATTGCGTAGATGCCCCTATCCTGTCGAAGGTGCTCCGCTACTATTGCAAACTCAGTGCCGGGGTTATAGAATGCTACTATAGGGTCCGTAGAAGCGTTAAAGACCTTATCTAGTGCTATGTATACAGTCTCGGTCTCCTTATCTTCTAATAGCTTTACTTCGCTAAAGCGTAAGAAGACATTAGCGACTATAAGCAAATATCGATACGGTCTCCTACTAACTCTAATGCGCTTAGGCGGAAACGGTCCTATTAGATCAATCTCGACGACTTCACTAGGGTGCAGAGTATAGAAGACCTTGTATAGGTGTGTTAGGTTAGCTAGTCTCTAAAGAGCGCAATAGAAGCAGCCTTTAACGTATTTAATAATGTCGCTATATATGCCTAGCTAGAACACTCGGTTAATAAGCTTCTAGTAAACGATGCGCTTATTAAAGTATCCTACTTCATCGTGTAGCTTTTGTAGCAATAGCACAATCTCGTATAGTAACAAGCATAGTACTAGGATTCGTCGCTTGTTAATCCGATCCGTAACGATGTATCTCTATAGGATGCCTATTGCTATATTGTATCGATAGCTAGCGGTAATAGTCTTAAAGCTCCTATAGACGGCCTTAGTCTAGATTTGAGGGATCTGCTAATATTTGTAATATCTTACAATGTCGCCGTACTATTGCTTAGTAAGCGCCAAGTCCTTATCTAATAGCCTCCCCGGTATAAGATTCGGCGCCTTGCAACAAGGGTAGTTATAGTAGGGATTATAGCATATCTAACTCGGATCGCCGTTCTTATAGACGCAAAGAATCTCGTGCCCGATCTCTAGGCAGTCTAGGATAGGCACCTTTATTGTTGTTCCCTCGGTTAATCGTTTAGGTTCACTAAAGGGTATCTATAGTAGTAGTTCTTCGACACTAATATTGTTAGTTGGCCCTATTACCATTTCCTCCTCTTGTTCCTTCCTTAGCCGACTTCTTACGCGCATAAGTGCCTTACTAAGCAGATTCAAACCCTAATATTCCCTTATCCTATCGGCCTTATATCCTTCAAACCTAATGCCCTATATTCGATCAGTTAGTAATGCCTCTACAAGTTTACGATCACTAGTGCCTAGAAGAGATTCTAGTAGCCTAGGGTTTGCTTTAAACTTTAGGTAGTTGCCTTGTTCCGCAATAGCCTCTCGGTGTTTATTCTAGATCGCCGGTTGCTATCGTAACCCGCGCACCGTGCGGCCAAGTAGCTTCTGTTTAGCAGGGTTGTTAGCGTTTATAATCTTAGCGGCGGTCTCGAAGTTACGATAAATCTCTGCTTTCCGCATTATTATAAACTGTTTAGCAGTATTGAATGTGAGGCCCTCGTATTCGATATTGTTGCTAAGGATATACTATTAAGAAAGGAAGCTATAAGGCTATAGTTGCTAGAAATATATAGGCCCTAGTTGTCGATTAATAGCGTTGCCGCAGGTGTCGCATTTGTCGCCTTTAATACGAGTGTTGCAGGTCCTACAGGTTACGACAACTCGTGTATTGTTAGTATTAACCTCCTCGTACGCAGTATTGTTCTTGCTTGCTGATTCGATGCTGCTAAGTATATATTTCTCGTATCTCTCCCCCCTGCCGAAAAGTTTATTTAACGTCTCGTTAAAGCCTCCTTTGCTATCTTTCTATATCTATAAGTCATTATTGTTATGTGCGTCTAACTCCTTCCTTAGTTCGATAGTCTTAGTGTTAAGGTCCTGTTTATTGTCGTCTTCGAAGATCGTACGAGACAGCGCATCTGCTACTACGTTACAAGGGCCTTCGATATACTCGATACAGATATTGTGCTATCGAAGGGCGTCTTGCTAGCGTGCGTAGATCCTATCTGCTTAAGCGTTAATAAAGCTAGTAATAGGCTTATAGTCCGTATAGATAACAGAAGTAATAGGTCCTTAGAATATATAGGTGTATTTGCCGATAAAATAAACGATTGACTTTAGTTCTCGCTTGTAGGTGCCGTAGTTGCGTTCGGTCTTGCTAAAGAGATAGGTATCGTATAGGATAGGTACCTATTTGCTAGTTGTCTTACTATTGTAAGTAACCTCCTGCCTCTGTCGGATAAAGCAGCCTATACCCTTAGTAGAAGCATCTAAGTACATCTTATACGGTAGTGTTAGGTTATGTCTATACTGTTCTACTACGGATGCCACCTGTTTCTTTACTAGGTTAAAGCTTAGCTAAGCAGCCTCGTTCTATTACTAATCTTCTAGGTTGTCGCTTATTAGCCGCCGAATAGGTATTATAACCTCTCCTATATTCTTAACGTATTCGCGCGCAGTGTTAACAATGCCGTTAAACCTTCGTGCGTTATAGGCGTTCTACGGTACTAGCTAGTCGAGGATCTTCTATACTCTTACTAGTTTCAATGCCTTACGTCTACCCGATTTGTATATATCTCTAAGCATCTCTAACTCGTTAAAGCTAATATACACTTTCCGGAAGGATAGCTTTATCTTTACGAATGCTAAGCGAGGGAAGAGGTAATCTCGAATGAAGGGCTACTAGGTGCTCTAGTCTCGGTGCGCTAGTAAGATATCGTCGATATAAACGGTTATATAAGGCAGCTGCTGTTCCTAGTCTAAGCCGACTATTATGTCGACAGCGATAAGCGAGGGCTCCGGGTCTAGTAGAGGTATTATTCCGAATGCTACGTTGCCGTATTCGTTTATAGTAAAGCTCGAAGACCTTGCGCCTATTAGTATACATATAGGTTGCAGTTGTCCGATTGTAGGTATATAGAATGCTAGGAGATGCCTATTAGTAGGGTAAATCGATATTGTCTAGTATGCGTCTTTAATGTTAAACTTCGAGAAGCATCTATAGGTCGGGTTGCTAAGGAACTCTTAGCTCTTTTTTATTAGCTGCATCTGTTCGCCGCTCTCTTACTCCTATATATAATAATAATTAAATGTAAGGCATAGGCGTAGTTTGCCTAGTTTAGCAACGATAACGCAGTTAGTATTCTACTTACTAATCTCTCCGTTAGCCGTTACTATACTCTTAAAGAGGCCGTTCTCGAGACCTTCCGTAGTATACTTAATTAGCTACTATTCCTTGTCCGCGCTTATTCGCTTTAGCTTAGCGCGGAAGACCTACGTACCTTCCTTTAAGATCGTGCGGTACTATATTAGGTCTATAGTAGGTCCGAGATCTCCTTATCTAAGTGCCTCTAGGTCGCGATAGGTCTATAAGACTTAAAGGACTTCTAGTATATCCGATTTAGGTATTAAAGAGCTAAGCTTAATCTCCTTCGTACTAATCTATTCCTCTAGTCCTACGAGATTCTTACTTGTATCGATTTCTCGGCGTTCGACTCGGCGAGTAACGGGGTACTTATAGGTAGAAGTCTCGGTACCGATGCTGTTACTTTAGACTATATAATTGTCGATCGTTTCTACTAGCTAATATCGGAAGCAGAAGTACTCGGTACTATAGCGGCAGGTTCCTTCGGAAACGTCGTAGTATCGCTTAGGGTAAGGGTTAGGGTTGGAGTTATCGCTTACGTAATCGCCTTTTGCCTCCGAGACCTTATATGCTCTAAATGGCCTAATTCTTCGAGAAATGCCATTATCCACCTTAGGGTATAACCCTAACCCTAACCCTAACCCTAACCCTAACTCTAGCCCTAGTGTTTCTCTAAAGCTCTCCTTCTGTCGTAGCTCGGCGCTATTAACGTCGACGCTATAGTTAGTATTTATATTAGTAGTAAGCCTTTTCTTGTTATACTAAGGACTTAGTAAAAAGCCTAGCCCTTCCTACTAGTTACCTTTATATTACTAAGGTCTATCTCTTCTAAATTACGGTTTAGCTCTTCTATATCTATATTATCCTCTTCCTCCTTATCGCTACTACGCTCTTCTATTTCCTTTACTTCTCCTAGACTTATTAAGTCCTAAATGTCTATTATAAACTTCGGTAGGTCGCTATACTTTAGTATTATCTTAATACGGACGACCTACTCCCTAATGCTAGTATCTCTAACTTCTATAGCTCTATCTTTAACGCGTAGAACAGCGTTAACTTAGTCTAGGAACGCTAAACCGAGAATAAGTAAGAGGTTGCTACGTCCCTTAGGGTAGCAGATCGCCTATATGTCCCTCCGAACGCCTCTAATATCGACGTAGAAGGTCGAGAAGTGTATAATACTAACTAAGCCTCCGTCGGCGACCTTTATATTAAGTAACGGAAAGCTAAGGAGCTTAACCGAATAGAGCTGTAGCTTTATACCCTTGCGGAGGTGTAGGTAGATAACGTTTAAATCTGATCCTTAGTCCGCAATATACTAGGTACGAGGTACTTATACCTCCCTTCCTCTCGCGGCGTTATAGATCTTAATAGGCAATAAGTAGGCCTTAGTCTTTAAGTCCCGCTAGCGCTAGCTACTAATACTTGCCTATACCTATACGGTAATGCTATTGCTATTGCCGTTAATCGTAGCACTTAGGCTAACCTAGTACTCCTTTATTATATCTTCCGCGGTAACTATAGGTATTCCTTTACCGAGGCCGGTAGCGGCTATAGTTAACAACTAGACAGCCTTTATTACCTCTATTATAACGGTCTCGGGTAGTACTATCTCGCACAACTCCGTAACCGTAATGCTGTTATTCTCGGCTAATTCTATTATCTCCGCTATATCTTCCTCTTCGGCCTTCTTAGCCTTACGCTTACCTGCTTCGCGGAAGCGTAGTTGCGAGAAGAGGTACTTATACCGGTTGCGGAAGAACGGTAACTACTATATAAGCTATAGGATTAGTAAGCGGATCTCTAGGTTGCTAAGGACCTTCTTTACCTTAATCGGTAGTTCGTTAAAGAGGCCGTTAATAGGCTTTATAGGCTTAGCGCCTTTGTCGACCTTCGAGGTACGTGCCTTTATAGGCTTAATAACTCGTGTAGTTAGGATGTTTAGTATATCGGTGTCTCCGTTGCCCTCCTTATTATAGTGAACCCTCTTATTCGTATTACTAGTAGGCTCGGTAGGCTCCCTATTGCTATATCCTTCGGCTTTATTCGTATCGACGTCTTAGCTCTAACTCTTCTTAATAATAGTAATAGCGGTAAGTAGCTCTTCTAGTGTCTTCGTACTATCCTAGTTTAGTAACACTTCGATGTAATAAGCATCCGCCGATAGCGCGTTACTATTCCGCGCGTCGTTTAATAGTCGATCGCTTAGTAGCGGAGGCCTAGGAGGAGGTGTTCTGCTATAATCTCGATCGCTACTATAACCTCTACGGCCGCCTCTATATAAGCTATAACCCCTACGATTATTACTATAACCGCTACTATATCTACCTCGATTGCCCTCGCCTCGGTTAGTACCTAGATTCTTAGCAAAGAAGTCCTCTCGTTGTTCTTATATAAGATATATAAGGAACCTGCTCTCCTATAGCATTAGTCGCTAATCTTCCGTATAGACATTGTTACGCTTAAGGTGTCTACGCTAGCTATACCCGTAGTATAGTAGATTGTTGAACTTATATCGGTACTAGATTATACTATTAATATAGCTATTCTAGGACTAGGTTAGGTCGACGTCTCTATTACGCTTACGGCTACGGCGCACAGCCGCATAATAGTATTCTAGTATTAGGTTGTTCTCGCTATAACCTAGTCCTATATTGTTGCGTAGAGCGCGTAACTAGAAACCCTAGCGCTACTGCTACGGAGGTCCTTATTAATACCCTAGTTGCTAAGCTTGCTATTATAGTAGCGGCGGGGCCTAATTCCTCGGTAGTATATATAGGGAGCGCTATTAAGAAGGTGTCGGTAAAGGTAAGGCGTAGTAATAGTAGCTATTGCTGTATTGATATAGGTAGCCCTACTAATCCTTAGCTTCCGGCGGAGTCGACTATACTATATTAGTATCGGCATTATAAGGCTCTATAGTATCTTAGTACTTCTTTAAGCGTTGATTAAGGTTATATAGTAACTGCTTACTAACCGACTAATATATAGCTGCCTCCTTTAGCACTTCTATGTGTTTATACTCCCTCTGTTCCTTCTTAGCCTTCTCCTTATCCTTAATAAGGCGCTAAGCCGCCTCCGCCTCCGCTAATATCGCCTTTAGGGTAGACTGCTTCTTGCGCTATATCTCGGTACGGAGCTTTTTGTCTACGAGGCTATTAACGAAACCCTTAATAGCGATAGTAAGAACAGTACGCTTAGTACTAGTAGCGGTGTTATTATCTTTGCCGTTTGCCTAGCGGAGTAGGACCGTACAACGATAATAATATTCCCTTAGGTCTTTATCTTTCTTCTATGCTACTTCCGTAAGTGCTTCGATAGTCTCGACGGAGTTATTAGCTAACGATGC